AAACATATAATATTTATTTAATATAATTCTTTTTATATAATATATATAATAATAAACCCATCTTTATCATTCTTAATGCATTTATCTTTATATTTAGTTAATCTTTGAATTAACATGGCGATAGGCCTACTGTGAGCCAACAGGCTTACATTTAAACCAGGTATATCAGGGAAAGACATTTAGCCTATAGGATTTAGACTACTTTTTATCATTCCTAAAATTTGCCTTAACATTAACATTCATTCCATGCCAAAAACAGGGCATCAGCACAACACATTGTCAAAGAAATAGAAGATCAACACATTGATGAAATAATGAAGTCAGTTCACAGTTTTTCAGGAGCAGGAAGTAAGCAGTCCCCCAACTTTGCTTATTGGTTCACATTCATGCAAGGAGTTGACCTGCTGTTGAGAATGCTGCGCGCAGAGAGAGATGCAGACTTTCAACTTCACTTGAACTGTATGGTGGAAGTTTTAACGTGGTTTAGGGCTGCTGGAAGAAACAACTATTCCAAGTATGTACCTACACTGAACAAAAATATAAACGCAACACTTTTGTTTTTGCTCCCATTGTTCATGAGATGAACTCAAAGATCTAAAACATTTTCTATAAACACAAAATAACCATTGCTCTCAAATATTGTTCACAAATCTGAAAAAATGTGTGATAGTGAGCACTTCTCCTTTGCCGAGATAATCCATCCCACCTCACAGGTGTGCATATCAAGATGCTGATTAGACAGCATGATTATTGCACAGGTGTGCCTTAGGCTGGCCACAATAAAAGGCCACTCTGAAACGTGCAGTTTCGCTTTATTGGGGGGGTCTGGGGGGGTCCGAAAACCAGGTGTGAGGGGTAGGGGTAGGGTTAGGGTAATGTTGTGAATCGAGTGGCCCATGGTGGTGGTGGGGTTATGGTATGGGCAGGCGTATGTTATGGACGACAAACACAGGCCACTCGATTCACAACATTACCCTTACCCTAACCCTACCCCTACCCCTCACACGAGATACTGACTGGTTTTCGGACCCCCCCAGACCCCCCCAATAAAGCAAAACTGCACGTTTCAGAGTGGGCTTTTATTGTGGCCAGCCTAAGGCACACCTGTGCAATAACCATGCTGTCTAATCAGCATCTTGATATGCCACACCTGTGAGGTGGGATGGAGAAGTGCTCACTATCACAGATTCTTTCAGATTTGTGAACAATATTGGAGAGAAATGGTTATTTTGTGTTTATAGAAAATGTTTTAGATCTTTGAGTTCATCTCATGATGAATGGGAGCAAAAACAAAAGCGTTGCGTTTATATTTTTGTTCAGTGTATTTATCTTGAGGAAATGAGAACACTTCAGCAACAGCAAACAGAGTCATACAAGTTCTTGCTAGAAGGTGGATTTGTTGCACGGCGGTCTGACGAGCGGAGCTTCAACTGTGTTGCAACTGACCAGGCAATGGAGCAAACAATCAACCGTGAGGGCAAGAGTGAAGGTGGAGTTATTGGCCTCACATTAAAGAAAGGGGCTCTCACAAGATGGTTGATGACACGGCATGTGACAACAGAGTATGTGGATGCAATGAAAGATCTTTGTGGCAAAACTGACCAAGGCCCACAAACCCACCAAGAGCATGGATCTTCTAGAACTGATCGAGATGAGACAGACATAAGAAAAATCATGGAAATTGTCGAATAAAACCAAAACCCCTTTGATCTTGATAGTGTTCCTGCAGAGCTTGTTAACATTGTCACTGGTGAAGTTGCCTCTGTGAAGGTGACAAAAGGTTTGTCCTGTTTCCTTGCACAGGACACAAGAACAAAGAGTTTCTGGGAACCAGAGAAAAGAAAATGCTCAGTCACTTTTGCAGATATGAAAGCACCACTATCCAAAAAGAAGTCTGGACAGAATCACATGGACTCAGAGGTCATTTTCAGGAGACTTTTAGCCGTTTCAAGCCAAAGAGATGTGTCCATGGAAACTGTGTTGTCTCATGAGTTAGCTACTGTACCACCTGCTTTGTTCTATGATGATGGCAGAATGAGAAAAACCTTGAAGGCTGACCTAGCCAAAAAGTTAGAGTCAATTGTGCCAAGTGAATACCACTTACCTGATGTAAGAGGACCATCTGCATACATCATAGATGGTATGGCATTAATTCAGAGTCTGAATGAATCAGGTTTCCAAACATTCAACGACCTAGCGTAACGTGTTCTCAAAAGAATATTTTAATTTCTATCAGGAGAGGGAAAAATCTGTTGTGTTGCCATGGTTTTTGACCGATATGACCACCCAAACTCCATTAAGCAACAAGAGACACAAAGACGTGGAGCAGTTGGAGATGCAGGACCAACACATGTGATCTCAGGGCACACTAAAGTGCCAAATTACAGGAGGTACTTGAGTCGCAGTGGAAGCAAGGCTTTGCTTTCTGCTTTTGTTTCCAATTACATAACCCGTACTGGTCCATGTAGACTCACAGAGGATCAGACGATCATCTTGGCTGGAGGTTTTGAAGATATAGAAGAAACCAAAACCATCCTAAAGGACAGGGTGGAGAGCTTAGTGGATTTGATGAGCGACCAAGAAGAGGCAGACACCAGAATAGTGCTACATGCCATCCACCTGGCAAAGACATACAAAAGAGTTATCATCAAATGCGATGATACCGATGTCCTTGTGTTACTGTTGTATTATGCAAGTTGCAGCATGTTTGGCTCAGCTTTAGTCCTGATGCACAAAGGCAAAACAGGCAAAGAGAGGTTTGTGCCCATCAAAATGATCTGTGAAAAGCTAGGGAAAGCCTTATGCCAGTGCCTCGCAGCTTGCCATGCACTGACAGGGTGTGATACAACGAGCAGCTTTTTCAAAATTGGAAAATCAACTGCTTTCACAAAAATGCAGAAGCATGTGGATGAGCTGAACGGTCTAAGTCACTTTGGTTTGACAGGAAACCTGACGGACTCATTACCTATGGCCCGACATTATGCACTCATTTTGTATGGCCAGAAGAAGAATCAGAAAGGGCAACAGTGTACAAGCCTGGATGAGTTGAGGTATGTACTGGCGTCCACCTCAGACATGCCTGCCTCTCAACATTCCCCCGACTGAAGATTCATTTAGGCAACACGTACTAAGAGCCATGTACCAAACTGCTGTTTGGTGCCACAGTCACCGAAAAAAAAAAACAGTGCTTTGGAGTCCTGTGGGGAAAGGTTGGAGGTTGATGGAGGGAGTCATGCAACCAGTGATGTATGAAAAAGCGGCAGCACCGCACAAAGTGCGAGATTTAACAAATCTCTACTGCAAGGACAAAAAAATGCAGTCAACAGAAGAAATGTCCTTGTTTTGCAGCTGGATTGCCATGCACTGAATTCTGTTCCTGTGACTGTCTTGAGTGCGCTAACGGAAGTGTGAACGACAGCATAGTTGCACACTAGAAAAAATGTTGAGTCATTTTGTAACTGTATATAATTGATGATTCATTAAAGTTTGAATGTATGATTCATTTTTGATTTTTCCATTCATTGAGCCGAAATCTCTACTTTAAATGTTAAACACTGTTTAATGTGCTTGCATTAGTGTAATGTAATTTCTGTCTCATTCTATGATATCTCTCCTTTTCTGTAAGATTTATATGTTTATGTATATATTTAACATTGATGAATGTTAATGTTAAGGCAAATTTTAGGAATGATAAAAAGTAGTCTAAATCCTATAGGCTAAATGTCTTTCCCTGATATACCTGGTTTAAATGTAAGCCTGTTGGCTCACAGTAGGCCTATTGCCATGTTAATTCAAAGATTAACTAAATATAAAGATAAATGCATTAAGAATGATAAAGATGGGTTTATTATTATATATATTATATAAAAATAATTATATTAAATCTTATTTTTTGCCTTAATCTATGGTCTGTGTCCTTTCGTTCATCCATTTACACCTATAGGGCCCATTCTATTTGTCAGTTTGAAGACCTTGCTGCACTAGCAACCTGTTAGGGGCTGGTGACAGAAGAGGTTACCAGCCCCTAATAGTCAAATAACCAACTTTTATCATAAGATAACACTCTTTGGTACATATAAATAAGGTTTTTTGGGGATTGGTCTCCTAACTTTAATAATGACAGAAAAGTATAAACATACCTTTTGGATTTTTCCTTTCAAATTTCATTTCCGCCTAAATTGTATCAGTGTTTGATTGTATATTTTACAAAGATGGACAAAGGTATTGGTACAAAATGTGCTTTAGTGTATGCTTTGCCTCACCCTGAACATATAAACCAAAGTTGGTGACATTCTGATCATTATTTCCAGATATACACGTGATAAGGTTGACATGGCCCCCTTCAGAGGAGCCTACATTTTCACTATTTTCGGTTATGGGAAGGTTCCATATATCAACCAATTTCTTTTTATTTTGCAGTAAAATATTTTTATACAACAATCCGTTTAAAATATTACAGATATTAAAGTAAGGAAAAAACATGGTTGTGTTTTGTTCTACCTCGGGTAGGGGTATCTCGATAACTAAAGCCTTTTTTGGGGGGTTGTTCCTCTACTAAATGACCATTAGACCATTTAGTAAGGTAAAAAGCAAAAAGCAAAAAGGCCTCTCAGACGCTCTTCCGTTTACGTGTTTAATAAAGAAAAACAAATGGACGGTAGATACACGGATTCTATCTACTTGTCTTTCATCCTTTTTATTTTATTTTATATTTTTTTATAACTAATGCTGTTGATATATTGTGATTTTAAGGGTGTCTATTACCATCTGGCCGAGGACAACAGCTGGAAATTAGCCATGTGACAGTTCATCGATGGGGACTGTCCACGACACTATACATAAATAAACTAAAAAGCAACCTAAATATAAACCAAACAGAAAATAACACGTTTAATATCTTTATATCTGGGCGGTTGGTAAATTAAGATTTTCAGAATGACCTTTTCAGTTTTATTGTGAAAACCTGAAACACCCCCCATGTTTCCGGTGTGGATCTTCCCGGTGGAGAGTCTGACGCACAACTGCAAACAGAGGCTCTAAACCCGGCAGAGGATCACCGGAGACACCGCGGAGGCTTTGTGTTTATCCCTGCCGCAAACAGAGGCTCTGAACCCGGGTAAATGCGAGGACCCTCCCCGCTGTCAGAGTCCGGAGACCCGTCTGTTTGCACCGGGAATCCGAGGGGTTGTTGTTGATGTGATCTCTGGAAGAAAGTAAACCGCTTTAAAACCCCACCGTCCGTGAGACTCAGGTAAGGTTCACCTGGAGATAATGTTAGCTGTGTTTATGTGTTGCTCTCCTGATCACCACACACCTGCTGCAGGGCTGCACACACACACACCAAACTACACACACATTATGACACCACAACACTGTGGGCCGGGGTGTTGTGGTGTGAATGGGAACTGCTGTGGCCTGCAGGTTATCATAGATAATGCAGATAAACGCGGGGTGTTGTGATTTATCAAGGTTAATTAAAGAGTCCTCTCCTGCTGATGTTCAGGTGTATATCAGTATGTAGTGTCTCTACTTTAAAGAGTCCTCTCCTGCTGATGTTCAGGTGTATATCAGTATGTAGTGTCTCTACTTTAAAGAGTCCTCTCCTGCTGATGTTCAGGTGTATATCAGTATGTAATGTCTCTACTTTAAAGAGTCCTCTCCTGCTGATGTTCAGGTGTATATCAGTATGTAGTGTCTCTACTTTAAAGAGTCCTCTCCTGCTGATGTTCAGGTGTATATCAGTATGTAGTGTCTCTACTTTAAAGAGTCCTCTCCTGCTGATGTTCAGGTGTATATCAGTATGTAGTGTCTCTACTTTAAAGAGTCCTCTCCTGCTGATGTTCAGGTGTATATCAGTATGTAGTGTCTCTACTTTAAAGAGTCCTCTCCTGCTGATGTTCAGGTGTATATCAGTATGTAGTGTCTCTACTTTAAAGAGTCCTCTCCTGCTGATGTTCAGGTGTATATCAGTATGTAGTGTCTCTACTTTAAAGAGTCCTCTCCTGCTGATGTTCAGGTGTATATCAGCATGTAGTGTCTCTACTTTAAAGAGTTCTCTCTTGCTGATGTTCAGGTGTATATCAGTATGTAGTGTCTCTGCTTTAAAGAGTCCTCTCCTGCTGATGTTCAGGTGTATATCAGTATGTAGTGTCTCTACTTTAAAGAGTCCTCTCCTGCTGATGTTCAGGTGTATATCAGTATGTAGTGTCTCTACTTTAAAGAGTCCTCTCCTGCTGATGTTCAGGTGTATATCAGTACGTAGTGTCTCTGCTTTAAAGAGTCCTCTCCTGCTGATGTTCAGGTGTATATCAGTATGTAGTGTCTCTACTTTAAAGAGTCCTCTACTGCTGATGTTCAGGTGTATATCAGTATGTAGTGTCTCTACTTTAAAGAGTCCTCTCCTGCTGATGTTCAGGTGTATATCAGTATGTAGTGTCTCTACTTTAAAGAGTCCTCTCCTGCTGATGTTCAGGTGTATATCAGTATGTAGTGTCTCTACATTAAAGAGTCCTTTCCTGCTGATGTTCAGGTTAATATCAGTATGTAGTGTCTCTACTTTAAAGAGTCCTCTCCTGCTGATGTTCAGGTGTATATCAGTATGTAGTGTCTCTACTTTAAAGAGTCCTCTCCTGCTGATGTTCAGGTGTATATCAGTATGTAGTGTCTCTACTTTAAAGAGTCCTCTCCTGCTGATGTTCAGGTGTATATCAGTATGTAGTGTCTCTACTTTAAAGAGTCCTCTCCTGCTGATGTTCAGGTGTATATCAGTATGTAGTGTCTCTACTTTAAAGGGTCCTCTCCTGTTGATGTTCAGGTGTATATCAGTATGTAGTGCCTCTACTTTAAAGAGTCCTCTCCTGCTGATGTTCAGGTGTATATCAGTATGTAGTGTCTCTATTTTAAAGAGTCCTCTCCTGCTGATGTTCAGGTGTATATCAGTAGTGTCTCTACTTTAAAGAGTCCTCTCCAGCTGATGTTCAGGTGTATATAAATATGTAGTGTCTCTACTTTAAAGAGTCCTCTGCTGCTTATGTTCAGGTGTATATCAGTATGTAGTGTCTCTACTTTAAAGAGTCCTCTCCTGTTGATGTTCAGGTGTATATCAGTAGTGTCTCTACTTTAAAGAGTCCTCTCCAGCTGATGTTCAGGTGTATATCAATATGTAGTGTCTCTACTTTAAAGAGTCCTCTCCTGCTGATGTTCAGGTGTATATCAGTATGTAGTGTCTCTACTTTAAAGAGTCCTCTCCAGCTGGTGTTCAGGTGTATATCAGCATGTAGTGTCTCTACTTTAAAGAGTCATCTCCTGCTGATGTTCAGGTGTATATCAGTATGTAGTGTCTCTACTTTAAAGAGTCCTCTCCTGCTGATGTTCAGGTGTATATCAGCATGTAGTGTCTCTACTTTAAAGAGTCCTCTCCAGCTGATGTTCAGGTGTATATCAGTATGTAGTGTCTCTACTTTAAAGAGTCCTCTCCTGTTGATGTTCAGGTGTATATCAGTATGTAGTGTCTCTACTTTAAAGAGTCCTCTCCTGCTGATGTTCAGGTGTATATCAGTTGTGTCTCTATTTTAAAGAGTCCTCTCCTGCTGATGTTCAGGTGTATATCAGTATGTAGTGTATCTACTTTAAAGAGTCCTCTCCAGCTGGTGTTTAGGTGTATATCAGCATGTAGTGTCTCTACTTTAAAGAATCCTCTCCTGCTGATGTTCAGGTGTATAGCAGTAGTGTCTCTACTTTAAAGAGTCCTCTCCAGCTGGTGTTTAGGTGTATATCAGCATGTAGTGTCTCTACTTTAAAGAATCCTCTCCTGCTGATGTTCAGGTGTATAGCAGTAGTGTCTCTACTTTAAAGAGTCCTCTCCTGCTGATGTTCAGGTGTATATCAGTATGTAGTGTCTCTACTTTAAAGAGTCCTCTCCTGCTGATGTTCAGGTGTATATCAGTATGTAGTGTCTCTACTTTAAAGAGTCCTCTCCTGTTGTTGTTCAGGTGTATATCAGTATGTAGTGTCTCTACTTTAAAGAGTCCTCTCCTGCTGATGTTCAGGTGTATATCAGTATGTAGTGTCTCTACTTTAAAGAGTCCTCTCCTGCTGATGTTCAGGTGTATATCAGTATGTAGTGTCTCTACTTTAAAGAGTCCTCTCCTGCTGATGTTCAGGTGTATATCAGTATGTAGTGTCTCTACTTTAAAGAGTCCTCTCCTGCTGATGTTCAGGTGTATATCAGTATGTAGTGTCTCTACTTTAAAGAGTCCTCTCCTGCTGATGTTCAGGTGTATATCAGTATGTAGTGTCTCTACTTTAAAGAGTCCTCTCCTGCTGATGTTCAGGTGTATATCAGTATGTAGTGTCTCTACTTTAAAGAGTCTCTCCTGCTGATGTTCAGGTGTATATCAGTATGTAGTGTCTCTACTTTAAAGAGTCCTCTCCTGCTGATGTTCAGGTGTATATCAGTATGTAGTGTCTCTACTTTAAAGAGTCCTCTCCTGCTGATGTTCAGGTGTATATCAGTATGTAGTGTCTCTACTTTAAAGAGTCCTCTCCTGCTGATGTTCAGGTGTATATCAGTATGTAGTGTCTCTACTTTAAAGAGTCCTCTCCTGCTGATGTTCAGGTGTATATCAGTATGTAGTGTCTCTACTTTAAAGAGTCCTCTCCTGCTGATGTTCAGATGTATATCAGTATGTAGTGTCTGTACTTTAAAGAGTCCTCTCCTGCTGATGTTCAGGTGTATATCAGTATGTAGTGTCTGTACTTTAAAGAGTCCTCTCCTGCTGATGTTCAGGTGTATCAGTATGTAGTGTCTCTACTTTAAAGAGTCCTCTCCTGCTGATGTTCAGGTGTATATCAGTATGTAGTGTCTCTACTTTAAAGAGTCCTCTCCTGCTGATGTTCAGGTGTATATCAGTATGTAGTGTTTCTACTTTAAAGAGTCCTCTCCTGTTGATGTTCAGGTGTATATCAGTATGTAGTGCCTCTACTTTAAAGAGTCCTCTCCTGCTGATGTTCAGGTGTATATCAGTATGTAGTGTCTCTACTTTAAAGAGTCCTCTCCTGCTGATGTTCAGGTGTATATCAGTATGTAGTGTCTCTACTTTAAAGAGTCCTCTCCTGCTGATGTTCAGGTGTATATCAGTATGTAGTGTCTCTACTTTAAAGAGTCCTCTCCTGCTGATGTTCAGGTGTATATCAGTATGTAGTGTCTCTACTTTAAAGAGTCCTCTCCTGCTGATGTTCAGGTGTATATCAGTATGTAGTGTCTCTACTTTAAAGAGTCCTCTCCTGCTGATGTTCAGGTGTATATCAGTATGTAGTGTCTCTACTTTAAAGAGTCCTCTCCTGCTGATGTTCAGGTGTATATCAGTATGTAGTGTCTCTACTTTAAAGAGTCCTCTCCTGCTGATGTTCAGGTGTATATCAGTATGTAGTGTCTCTACTTTAAAGAGTCCTCTCCTGCTGATGTTCAGGTGTATATCAGTATGTAGTGTCTCTACTTTAAAGAGTCCTCTCCTGCTGATGTTCAGGTGTATATCAGTATGTAGTGTCTCTACTTTAAAGAGTCCTCTCCTGCTGATGTTCAGGTGTATATCAGTATGTAGTGTCTCTACTTAAAGAGTCCTCTCCTGCTGATGTTCAGGTGTATATCAGTATGTAGTGTCTCTACTTTAAAGAGTCCTCTCCTGCTGATGTTCAGGTGTATATCAGTATGTAGTGTCTCTACTTTAAAGAGTCCTCTCCTGCTGATGTTCAGGTGTATATCAGTATGTAGTGTCTCTACTTTAAAGAGTCCTCTCCTGCTGATGTTCAGGTGTATATCAGTATGTAGTGTCTCTACTTTAAAGAGTCCTCTCCTGCTGATGTTCAGGTGTATATCAGTATGTAGTGTCTCTACTTTAAAGAGTCCTCTCCTGCTGATGTTCAGGTGTATATCAGTATGTAGTGTCTCTACTTTAAAGAGTCCTCTCCTGCTGATGTTCAGGTGTATATCAGTATGTAGTGTCTCTACTTTAAAGAGTCCTCTCCTGCTGATGTTCAGGTGTATATCAGTATGTAGTGTCTCTACTTTAAAGAGTCCTCTCCTGCTGATGTTCAGGTGTATATCAGTATGTAGTGTCTCTACTTTAAAGAGTCCTCTCCTGCTGATGTTCAGGTGTATATCAGTATGTAGTGTCTCTACTTTAAAGAGTCCTCTCCTGCTGATGTTCAGGTGTATATCAGTATGTAGTGTCTCTACTTTAAAGAGTCCTC